TTACTTATTTTGTGTGTGTGTGGCCAGCTCAGCCCACCAGGGGGCGGGGCTGGCTGGCATGTGGTGCTGGGGGATTGAACTGCGGTCCCTGTGCTTTGCTTGGCTTAGCTTGTTCTAAGTAGGTGTGTTAGACCACTGAGCCATCTCACCAGCCCCTACTTTGTATTTTCAAGGTTAAGCTTATTTTTAGTATCTAATTAATGGAACAATGGGGCAGAAACTAAAGTTGCCTTCTGGTTCTACCTTAGGAGTTTAGAGTATTGTTTGGGAAAGTGCTGGGCTTTTCTTTTTCTTTTTTTCAGCAGAACTGGGGATTGAACTCAGGCCCTTGCACTTGCCAGGGAATGCTTATTCTACTGAGCCATCTCTCTGGCCTGTGTTCGGCTTTTCTTAGTAGATTTTTTAAAATTACTTGCTTCAATTTCCAGCCCAAGACTTACAACACACCTCCACAAAATAGGCTATGCACAAGGGTCTGGATTCTACTCCCAGAACCACCTAAAATAAAAGTCTTAGGTGCCCTCCCAGCAGGGAGGAAGCCTGTGCAAACTAGAACACTGCAGATAACTACAGTCTCTGTTCACCTGACCCTTAAGCCCCTAGCACCCAGTGGAGAACACAAAGGCACAAACCCTGTGACCTGAACAGGGAACTCTCTGCTGTAGGATTTCCTGCATTTCTAGGCTCAACTTGCTGCCTCTACTTACGTGCCCAAGTCAGATGGCTTGTTTCGTAGTTGCTCAATCAGCTCCCGGTAGGTAGGGTCACTGAGCAGCGTTCTTGTTCTGGGATCATTCTCTAGTTTCTGATACAGGTTGGGCATGTTGAAAGGGTTCATGAATTTCCTCTCTGTACGAATAAATCAAAGTGCCTCACCATTCACTTGTGTTCTGGTGCCCTCGTAACCCCCCCACTAGGGTGGGGTGATGGCTCAAACTCAAACCCATGGGAAAGTAAGGAAGATAGTTACATGGTGCCTACCTGCCAACCGGGCCTCCATATTCTGTAAACCCTCTTTCAGTTGAGGGTTACTCGCTTCATGTTTTAAACCCTCCTCATAGGTTCGCTTGGCTTCTTCATATCTGTTTAAGAACTCAAGAGCGGCTGCTTTTCTC